AGGCCCTATGTTACCTGGAACCTTCTTTTTTTAAATACATAGTGGGTAAAAAGGATTTCTTGTTGTCCTTGATCCGGGTTGCTAGTCCCAGTTCCATCTTCGCCTTACCCTTCCTAACAGCCCCCCTACAAACCTGAGCAACGGCTGTATAGTCCTCCCTGGTGATGGCCCCTCCCTTCCATTGGGTGTATGCGTCCTTTTTAGCCTTGAGACATTCCTGGATGCTTTTTGTTAGCCAAGGGGGCTTTTGAGCACTCTTGCTCCCTTTGACCCTTGTTGAGATTGCCACCCTTTGAGCTTGGAGGATCGTCTCCTTAAGGAACGACCACTCTTCTTGGACTCCCAACTTCCCTCCCCTCCGGGACCTCAGCCTCTCCTCGACTAATCTCCTTACCTCATTGAAATCCACCCTCCTGAAGTCCAGGGTTACTGTCTTGCTGCAAGCCTTTGCCGCCCTGCGCTGGATGGTGAATTCAGTGCTGGATGGTGAATTGACTAAGGGAGACCACTATTTGTGCTTCAGTCTGAAGGAAGCCCCCAAGTTCTTGAAGTGGGCTGAGTACCCTTGAGGGCTGCTAGGTCTGTGTTTCCCAGGGGGCACAGTGCCAGGATCAGTCCAGACCCTGGGTGGTGGCAGCACTCCCCCCAGGCTAGCGGGTATGCTCCAGGAAGGGGGTCGGCTAGACATGAGGCACCCCCAGGGAGGCACTTGGAACCTAGAAGGTGGTCAGGCGCAGTGAGGTGGGTGACTCAGTGCAGGAGCACCTCCTACTGGCCCACCACAGGGTTCACCCTGCCTCGGGTCCCACCACTCCAGGCTTTGCATCCCCCTGGGACCCTAGGCTTTGAGTAAATTAGCCATTGTAAAGGAAAAGCTGGGAAATGAAGCATTGGCAAGTAAGGCCAAGCAACAGAGCAATGGAATATCTGATGATGCGTGCTGTAGGCAGAGTGATCCTCACTGCTAAGTTTCCTTCATAAAGTCATGGAGAAAGGGGCAGTGATCTGGCCACAATCCCCACTCTTGCGGCTCCTGTGGCCATATGGGATGTTTACTAGGGCTGTGAGAAGCTTTGGTCCCTGATTCTATTCAGCTGAGATTTGGCCCCATTCAGTGGCTGAATCTCTGAATCCAAATCAAATCAGAGAAGCCTTTAATCTTTTAAAATCAAATCAGAACTCTCTGAATCGATTCAGAAAGGTTCAGAGATTTGGACATAGACACAGCTTTAAATGTTTTTTCTACATACCTCTAGGTAGCAGGCGGCTTGTGAAAGCTGCAATGTTGGGGCGCATGGAGCATCCCACAGGAGCACAGGGGGCTCCCCAGCATGCTCAGCAGTAGACCAGCACTTCTGGTCCAATTCCAGGTCCACAGGGGAGCATGGTGGGAGGCCCACCTGTGCCCCTCCTGGCTTGGCGACTGGTGCCTCCTGGGTCTGGGGAGGGCACCCAGGGTCCCCCAGGGGCCGGTCACTGAGCTGGGGGAGGCGGGAGGCCCCCCCAGCATGCTCCCTGGTGGACCCAGAAGTGGACCAGAACTACTTCTGGTCCACTTCTGGATTTGCCGCCAAGCATGCAGGGGGCCCCTCCGCGCTCCTGTGGGATACTCCATCTGCCTCAGCATGACAGTGTTCACAAGCCATGTTGGTACCTTGAGATATGTAGAAAAAACATTCAAGAGTGTGTCCAGAAGCCATGTTGGTACCTTGAGATATGTAGAAAAAACATTTAAAGCTGTGTCATTGAATCTTCAGATTCGGATTCAGCCAAATGAAATCAGGGACAGTGATCTGAATCAACAAATCGAATCACTGTCCCCAATTCAGGCCAAATCTGAATCAAATAGGACCCACTTCACACACCCCTGATGTTTACCCAACCCTGACTTCAAATTCTGCAGTGCTAGTGACTGCATTTTATTTTGGCTGCGCCCTAGCACGCTTCTTCATGATATCAGCTTTATCCCGCTAAACATGTTCCCGTTTTGTTTTGTTTTTTACTTTTATAATGTACCATGACTAATGAAGTACATGAACGTTATTTACCACATAATGGCTTATTATGCTATAACTAATAAAAGTTGTTATGACATGCTAGGAGGCATGTCATAACAATTTTACCCTTCTGTCCTTGAAGTAGTACTTTATGCCAGAAAGCATTTTTGGATATGATTTGGTATTTTGGTTGGTTGATTTT